TTCAATTCTTTGGACATAAGGGCATCTTTCACATCATTAACAGAAATTGTAGTTCTACCATATAGCATAGTATCTACAAAATTCTCATATGAACCAGGTAGTGAACACAATAAAATTAGGGCTTGGTCTTCATCATCTACTTTAACCTCAACTCCTTGAAGATCAAGAATGATACGGTTAAAGGTATCAAGATGATCCTTTACCTGAGTACTTTCGGACATCCGGAGGGTGTAAAGACGTTGCTTCTGATATAGCCTGTTCGTGAGGGAGTTGTTTTGGTACTTCTCACACAGTTTATTCCATAATCCAAAAGCCGTTGTCTGATCTACAACCTCCCGTAACACCTCATCAGTAACTGACAGCAAGATCGCGGAATGAGCCCTTGCCAAAATCTCCTTATTTACCTCCTCCTTCGTGTCTTTAGGAAACTTGTCTTCTCCCTCCAACGCAGCCGCACATCCTTGTTGAACCAGAAGTGCCCTCATCTTGACCTTCCAGAGCGTGAAGTCATTCGACCCATTAAACTTCTCCATATCAAATTTATACGAGGACATTTTCAATCAATGGGATATGGCTCTGATACCACTTGTTATGAGAAAACGAGAAAGAAAGCAAATAAAGAACACAGAGGTTTTACGTGGTTCGGTGACGGTGTGTCAACCTACGTCCACGGGCAGGAACCGGAGAGATTTTATTATACTGATTCAGAGATTTACAATGTGTCATCCGACTAAGAACCATAGTTGTCTATTTATAAGCACCCCAAAACACCCTAAACCCTAAGCCTATTTGTTATTAATTAGGATAAGCCCAAAAGGAACCCTGCCAATTGAAACAGCCCTTTCGCTTTGGTTTAAGGTCGGGTAGACCGCTAAATCCAAGTCACGTTTCAACAGTTTATTTATTTATTTTTATAACGTGGGACCTGCAGCCGCTACCCGAAGATAAAAAGACAAATATGATAATTCACACTAGGCGAACCATGTATGACAAATATGCGTCAGGATTTACCTCTTTTTTTTAAAAAATAAAATAAAAATTACCACACACACACGTACTTCGGCATTCATGGGAATTAAATTTTGAATCTCGTACTATGCAAAAAATAAAAGATAAAAAGATAAAAAGTATACTACCTACTTAGATATTGATTGAGGTCTTGAATAGGAAAACAAATATTACATTTAAACGTATAGTATCCTAATTATGTCTATAAATAATATTAAAAAAAAAAATTTATCATAATTACAAAGATGTATACACTAAATATATTCAGGGGCGCGAATAAAGTACTGATCCAATCAAATCAGCATCAGGTCAATACATCACATAAAAATATACAATATATATTTTTTGTATAACATGACATATGTTGTGTTATAAAATATTATATGTTGAATTATCACATAACATACGTTGTATCATAAATATTCTATGATAGTAGATAATATATATTGATTACCTTTACGTGATATGCTGACCTGATCAGCACCGGATCCGCAGCTTATATTTAGATATATATCATAACATTTCAACTAATAAAGTGACTTCAATTGAACACTAAAGTATTATCAGTAATAAACTAAAAAATCATTTGACTAATTATAGAGATCTTTCATTTCAATTCAAAATATATAAGAATAGTATGTTTTAACAATATATTTTCCTAACGTACAGTCTAATTGTATAAGAAACCTTGAAAACATATGAATGTATGTATGTCATACAATGGTATATATATATATATATATATATTGATTCAAGTCGAGAAGTCCTTTACAACCAAATGAGCCCTATAGTAGGGATTTTTGACCTGTACTTTTCTCTCATTTTCTTATAAATTCATTTGCAATATAGTGATTGCTTTCTCCTTGATAGCTATATAAGCATTATCGAAGTCTTATTCCTCGTACGACACTCTGTTTCACTATCCATTTTATTCATCCATAGATTATTGCAAAAAATGATGTAATGCCTTAATCTCATTGTAGTGAAAGAAAGGCTTAGGGGATTAATCAATATCATGAATTGATTTTGATTATTATTAAATTCGAACTAATTGGTTTAGAGGTATTTCGTGATTGTTGTTCTTACTTATGATTCTACTAGTAGTTACTTTGTAGCTATGTTCAAATCATAATAGGTAGGTTTAGTTAGTTGTATTTTGAAAATATAATGTTATTTAGTTTGTTTTAAAAGTAGTAAAAAAATTATATCAAATAAATAAAAAGACAAAAATGCATACGCACATTTTCAGCTTTCGATATGGATTTAACACTACAAAAAAAAAGGCATATTTGTAACGGAATTTTATTCCTAAAGTTCACGTAACTAACGTAATTTTATCCATAATTCCGTCTCTAATGTCATTAGTAACGAAAAAAGTGAATTTAAGGACGGAAAAAACCTCGTTACAGAAATGATATTTTCTTGTAGTGTAAGTAGATTCAACGGCTAACAATAACATTGATATCACTACGTAATAAATAGACATTATATCAAGTAAATAAGATGACAAAATTAAAGTACATTAACAATCTTTATCTTTCTATTTATTTAAGTAAATCCAACGCTAGCGACAACTGTTACGTCAACATGTAATAGATATATATTATACTCTCTCAATCCAGTTACAAAGTATATATATTTCTATTTTGGAACTTCCAATTACAAAGTAATCATTGCATTAAATACCCTACTTTTTTTCCCCAAATATTCTTATTTTACATCACATCATTACTTTTTATACCAAAAAGCAAGAGCAAAAATGTCATTACACTACTTTACCTACCCACTATAATTAAAATACTATTATTTCTTAAACTCCACGCTAAAAGTAAATGTATATTTCTTTTTTGGACAGAGGGAGTATCTAGTAAATATGATGACAAAAATATACATAGGGTTTTTTTTTTTATTTCAAACAAAAAAACAAAATATTACAATTTTTAATAAAAATATATAATTTTTTTTACAAAATATTACATTAAAATATTATTTAAACAAACTCCTACAATCCCATCTATCCAATTTATATTAGAGTCGCATATCCAACGAGCACCATTAGTAACGTCAACATATATTAGATATATTATATCGACTGAATAAGATGGTGTAGGTACGTTTACAATTCTTACCTTTCAATGTATAAAATTAAAATAGATCCAACTCTAGCGACAAGAGTAATGTCAATATGTAATATAAACTTTATATCTAGTGAATATGATGACACAATTACATATATAATTGCCAACCGTTCAATTTACTATATTAAAGCATATCCAATGCTAGCAACAATAGTAATATAAACAAATAGTAAATATATTATGTCGAGCAAATAAGATGGTAAAATTATATCTACAATCCAGACATTTCAATTTATATTAAGATAGTTCCATCGCTAGAAACAATAACAAGTCAACAATGTAATAATTAATATTTATATCGAGTAAATACGATCGCAAAATGACATATACAACCCCAACGGTTCAAGTTATGAAGAATATCTATAACTAGCAACAATCAAAGGTCAACATATAATATATATAGTATATCCATGTAATAAGATGGCAAAATTATATCTATAGTCCAAACCATTCAATATATATATAACCAAATCTAATATATAACAATGATAATAACATCAACATGTAATAAATATATTATTCCGCGTGAATAAAATGACAAAAATACATATTAAAACAGATCCAACTATTTTAATTTATACTAAAAAAAATTAAGTTAATACTAAGTTAATATACAATTTATATTAAGTTAATACAACGATTTAAATGTATCTTCAATCTCAACCATTCAACTTATATTAAAACAGATCCAATAACTAGCAATAATAGTAACGTGAATATGTAATACACATTATATCGAGTTAATACAATTGACAAAAATATATCTTAAATCTAAATCATTCGGCTTATACGAAAGCAGATCCAACTATTAGTAACCGTAGTAACATGAGTTTGTAACAAACATTATATTGAATTAATACAATTTTGGCGAAAAGTATATCTTTAATTTCAATAATTCAATTTATATCAAAGAGATCCAACGACTAACAACAATAGTAACATAAGTGTGTAATATACATTATATTGAATTAATACAATTGACATAATATATCTCAAATGTTAATCATTCGACTTATATTAAAGCATATCCAACAGTCAACAATAGCAGCATGAACATCTAACACATTATATTTAGATTATACGATGACACAAATTAACTCTTCATATTAACTATTCAACTTATATTAAAGCAGATTCAACAACAAGCAACAATAGTAACGTAAATATACAATACAAATATTATATCGAGTTGATAAAATGACAAAAATACATCTTCAATCTCAAATGTTCCACTTATACTAAAGCAGATCCAACGACGAGCAACAACAACAACAACGTCAATGTGTATTACTACACGTTATATTAAGTGAATAAGATTGACAAAATTATATCTGTAATTTTAACACTTACACTTATATTAAAGCAGATTCAACGACGAGCCACAACAGTAAAATGAATGTGTAATACATATATTATATTAAGTGAATAAGATAACAAAAATTATATCAGCAATCTAAACTCTACGACTTATATTAAAGCAGATTAAATGGCGAGCCAAAACCGTAACATGATTGTGTAATACATATATTATATCAAGTGAATAAAATAGCAGAAATTATATCAGCAATCTAAACCCAACCACTTATATTAAAACAGATTTAAAAGTAAATACATTTCGAAAAATTTCTGAAAGCATTTCATCCAAGCACATTTGAGTAATGTAATGACTTTAACTAATCTACAATTGAAAAAATTTCTTGATAATAAAGTTCATCTTCACCTCCATATCTACCTCAAGATTTTAACCGAAGATTTTTTCCTAACAATCAAACATATATATTATACATATACGCGTATCCGTATATAATACGTAGATATACACATATGTATGTATACATTTGTATTTTGGGTTTAGAAAAGGAGTGGAATAACCAAGGAAAAAGAAAGCAAGTGAAGGACCTTTGGGGAGAGGTAGAGAGAGAGAGGGAGTGAGGAAGGAGAGAGAGAGGATGGACAGCCCTCTGTTTTCATTTTTGTAAATTTCTCTCATTAGATCTTAGTTTCGATTGAATAATTTGTTTGGTATTTATTCCTCCCTCTCCCACAAGGTATGGATTTGTTGGTGGAGATGAATTTCGCATTTCTGATTTGTTGGGTTGAAATTGAATGGATTTTGGAATTCTTACTGAAATTATTTTTTTTTTTCTGGTTGTTGTTCTTCGAACTTTTTTTTGTTCTGATTGTGGGTTCTGTTTTTGATCTGTCTGTATTATGCTATTTCCAGGTCCCCCAGTATTGAATCGCGATCGATTGATCAAGGATCCGATGAACCTTTGAATTAAATCCAGCATTTCCTGATCAGTTAACGTTTCTCGTTTCCTGCCTGATTTTCTGGATAAGGTAAGATTCTCGATGTTGATTTTGTTTGTTTTTCGGTTCATCGATTTCCGTTCGTTGTTGGATCTGCGAGATTTAGGTTCCGATTTTCATTTTCGATTGAATCTGTGCGATTTCGAGTTGTGCTCTGGATTTGGGGCTTTGTTTCATATCTGAAAAAAAATAAAAACTAAAAATCGATTCAGGCATTTGATGGTTTCAGATTCATATGTTTGAGATGATGTTTAAGCTTAGATTATACAGGTTTTGTAGTTTGGTTGGGTTTTGGATTGAATTATGAGTTAATTTTGGTTTGGATTTGGAAAAAAAAGATGGAGAAGGATCAAGGGAAGCTCTTCATCGGGGGAATTTCGTGGGACACGAACGAGGAACGTCTTAAAGAGTACTTCGGGGGCTATGGGGAGGTGGTCGAGGCCGTGATCATGAGGGATCGAACCACAGGCCGTGCTCGTGGCTTTGGGTTTGTAGTGTTTGCTGATCCTGCAGCTGCTGAACGAGTGGTTAAAGAGAAGCATATGATCGATGGACGGACTGTGAGTTGATTTAGATTTTGTCGACTAAGTTTCAATTGCTAATGCTTTTCTTTCAAGTCCATTCAATTAAAATCTGCAATTATGAACATTTTGTGGAAGTTCTTGAATTAATGGATTGCTAAATTCGGACAATGCCGTAGATTTTTCATGAATTTTCAGCTTCCTTCGATAGATCTACAGCTCGTACTGCTGTACGTGTGTTTTATGGAATCATTAGCTGAATTCGGACAATGTCATTTATTTTCATGAATTGTAAACGTCCTTCGATAGATCTACAGCTCTTGCTGTGTTATGTGAGAGTCATTTGTTGTTGCTATGTGGTCTTGAGTTGGATTGACTCATTAAAATCTACTATTCTGAACATTATGCGGAAGTTCTTGAACTTTTGGATCACTAAATTCGAACAGTGTCATAGATTTTCATGAATTTTCGACTTCCTTCGATGGATCTACAGCTTTTACTGTCTTACGTGTAACCATTTGTTGTTTCTATGTGGTCTTGAGTTGGATCAACTTGATTATTAAAATATACGATTCTGAACAATACACGGAAGTTCTTGAACTTCTGGATCGCTAAATTCGGACAATGCCATATATTTTCATGAATTTTCAACATCCTTAGTTACATCTACAGCTCTTACAGTCCTATGTGCATCTTATGGAATCACTCATTATCGCATTTCTAACAAAATTCTTCGATCTTCAGGTGGAAGCAAAGAAAGCCGTTCCAAGAGACGATCAACAGCTGATAAACCGAAACATCAGCAGCAGCAGCAGCATTCAGGGGTCGCCAGGCCCCGGGCGTACTAAAAAGATTTTTGTCGGAGGTTTGGCGCCCACAGTCACCGAGAGCGACTTCAGAAGCTATTTTGAGCAGTTTGGCACCATAACCGACGTCGTAGTGATGTATGATCACAACACACAGAGGCCAAGAGGGTTCGGGTTTATCACATACGATTCGGAGGATGCCGTCGATAGGGTGTTGCACAATACCTTTCATGAACTAAACGGGAAGTTGGTCGAAGTAAAGCGAGCCGTCCCGAAGGAATTATCGCCCGGGCCTGCCCGGAGCCCGCTTGCTGTTACTGGTTACGGTTTTAATCGAGCCAATGCCTTACTCAGTAGCTTCCCGCAGGGGTATAATATTAGCTCGCTCGGCGGGTACGGTCTTCGGATGGACGGAAGGTATAGTCCGTTGGCTGCTGCTCGCGCCGGGTATTCTCAGTTCGGTTCTCCGTCGTACGCGATGGGTATGAATATGGAACAAGGGTTGAATGCCGGGTTCGGTGGGGGTTCTAACTTTAACACCGGTTTAGGTTACGGCCGTGTTATGAATCCTTATTTTAGCGGCAATCAGAGCAGGTACAGCACTCCTATCGGTTACAATACCGGCGGTGGCAGCCGAGGCGATTCCTTTTTCAACTCTTTGTCGAGAAATGTTTGGGGGAACGGTAGCCTCAACAATTCGGCAAACAATGCCAGTTCAACCTCGTACTTTGGTTCGGGAAGCGGTGGTGGCTTCGGGGTCTTTGAAAACAATGGGTCGACTTGGGGTGCGCCTCCCGGTGGTCCGTCGATGGGTGTGAGTTCTTCGGGTTATGGTGGGGCGAATCTTGGCTATAGAGGTGGAGAGAATAGCTATGCTCTCGGTGGAGGAGGATTCGGACGAAACAGTGGAACGGGTTTGGCTACAAAGTCGTCATTCTCTGCTTCGACCGGTAGCTATGAAGGGTCTTATGGAGATCTCTACCGTAATGGCTCTGTTTATGGCGATCCGACTTGGCATTCGACTTCTTCTGAGCTTGATAATCCTGGTACGTTTGGTTATGCACTTGGGGCTTCAGAAGATGTCGCTGCTAAGGATTCCGAGGATTATGCTGTGGATTATGACCTTCCAAATCGACAATCTAATAGAGGTATTACTCTCTGCACCTTGAAATAAATGTTTTTGTTATTCTTATAGGACTATCCATTTTTCGAAAGCTTCCCTAGAAATGAAAGTAATGATTGATGTGCAAGTAAATGAAAATCTCTTTATTAGAATCAAATCCAATTTATTTGCCTAGATCTGTTTATACTACTGTTGCCTCATGGTTCGATACAAAGTAAGTATTTATAGTTGCTGTTTCTTGAGAATTATAAATTGAGTTGAAATGCCAATAGGAGCGTAGTGAAATCATTTGGTTGAATCATTTAGAATGTTTCTATATCGTATTAGTCCATGTTTTATATATAACACGATCTTGTAGTGGCAATGATTATGGTGATCCGAGGATGTTTGTTCGAAATGAATATGAATTTAAAGTGAATTACGCCTTCTGTAAAATGCCTTGCTGATGTAGTTTACATAGATTGTCAAATCTTCTTATTCTATGTCATAATCGAATACATTGAAATATACTTTTCATCGGTGGTGTTTGCAATTATGGGTTCGAATTCATTGCTTTGGCTCTCTTATTTGGTTTTGTTTGCAATTATTATTTGTGTGAATCCGATAAATCTACTCCTAGAACATTGCTTTAGGCTGAATTATCACGATGTCGAGTCATTGCCTATTAAATGTTTCCCCTTGCAGAAATTTTATCCTTTTGTTTTGCAAGTTCTTTTTTTTTTTTGATTTTTTGAAAGTGAAATAGTTGTTGGATGTGATTTGTAAAAATATTTTGAGATTGAATAGTAGATAAAATTCAGAAAAATTGACAAGTAAATACACTCAAAAGATTTTGCCATATTTTCAGCTTATTATGTATGGAGCGTTTCCGCATATGGAGAGTTGTGTTTTTGCATTTCTAGTCTTTTGCAATGATGAGTGAACCAAATTAACTGATGATAAGTTATGTCTGTTTTTATTTGCTGTTACATTTACGTAAATCTTCTCGTGTGCGCACTTATGATACATAAATGTGTTTGCAAGAAAAATTTTCAGGAGATCACCATCCCATCGAGCCAAGCCTTTTAACAATTTGGAAAGAATCTAACTTCGAATCCATAAGAACTAAGGTTGCATTTACATATGGTTTGGAAGTATTTTAGAGTTTTGGGGAATAGTAAAAAGTCGAAAAATAGTTATTTAATGCAATATTTTTTTAAAAGAGAATTGTTGATGTATATTATCAAAAGTGATTTAAAAACTAGCTTATGCTATTCCTAGTGTTTTTATTTTCGTGTTTGTTTTGTTTTTTTTTTCTTCAGGAATTGCTGCATGAGTGAGTAGCTTTGGTAGGAGGACACCGGGGAAAACTGAAAGACAAGAAACAAAAAATTCTGAATCAATGTTCGTTTGTTTGTTCGATCCCTCGTAGAGAAACAGATCCGTCACCCGCATACAGAGCTAATTACAGGATCCTGGCACAAAGTAAATTGCTCGGCAGAGGTTAATTTCGATGGTTTTCGCAAAGTTTTCTGAGGTATGAGTGAATGATTCCTAGGCATAACATTATTGGTTTTGTTCGCCTGCCATTTTGATCGAGATGTAAAAAATCCGATCGCCGGATATCTATATCTATATCTATATATATATATATATACTTTTGGAAGATTGGATCCATTGTTTAGGTTTTTGATTTGTTGTGCAACAGAAGAAGACTGTACTTACTACATTGGGTAAAAAAGCAAACACAGATAAGGATTAGTTTTGTATTCTTTCCTGTCTTTTGGATTTTGTAATCTCCTTTTGTTTGATTTCTTAGTGTGATTTATTGGAAAAAAAAAAAACTTATTTGCATGATACTATTAGTATTATTATTTGGTATATCGAATGTTTTGGATGCTTGTGATTGGTGTTTTTAGGAGTTCTTTTATCGTAAAATTTGGGCTTTACGTAGAGGAGATTTCGATCGATTTGAGAGGTTTTTGAGCTTTACGAAGAGGAGATTTCGATCAATTTGAGAGGTTTTTGAGCTTTACGTAGAGGAGATTTCGATCTATTTGAGAGGTTTTTGGATTGAAGGGTTATTATTTCGATCGATTTGAGAGGTTTTTGGATTGTAGGGTTATTTTATTTTATTTTTTTGTTGTATTTAGTAATTTTAGAATAATAAAAATTTTGAACTGACTATATATGTAACTTTTTTCATTTAATTTTTTTTTGATAAATTTAAAAAAATTTTAATTTGATTTTGGTATCAAAATAATATATAGTTGTGTAAAAAAAAAAATGTTTTTTTTGTTGAGGAAAACAGAGTAGTAAAATAATTTGTACTAAAACTCACAAACAAACACTTTCTTGTATTTATATTTTTATTGGGCTTCATTCTGTTGTCTTTTATTGCATTATCTTGAATATATTTCAACAAGTCAGACTTGAAAAGGATGAACTTTTCAAACCCAAATAAAGATTTCTTCCTGAACTTCTTCTTGCATCTATACTTTTATTCGATTATCGCCTTTAGTCCGGTAATAACAATGCTATAACAAGTATATATAAATTTTTGTATATGTATACATGATATATTTGACAAGAATTGAGAGAAAAAAAATTACTGTGCATTTGCGATAGAAAGGGAGAAATAAAACACAACCAAACATATGTTTTGGTATATTTTGCGACGTGTTCCTTCAGGAATCTCACCGCTTCAACAACACAATTGTGCGCAACCGATTACAGCCATCAGCAAAAGGAAAGAAAAAAAAATAAAATAAAATAATAAAGAATGATATAGAATACATCAATTAGCCATTCCTGCACGATTACGCCGCCGCCGGAAGAAAATCCACCACCACTGTAACTCGCCGGAAAATAAGGATTCAGCTCGACATTCACCCAATTTCGATTTCCGTCATGATCCTGCCTCTAATAGGGTTTTTGCTTCTGAGTTCTTATAATTGGTGTATCGGAGAAGACTCCGTATAATGGGCGGGCCGACATCACTGGCCCAATGGGCTGAATTATAGAATGTCCTTTTTCGTCATTTCATAATTAAAGGAGGTCCATTTTCGTCATTTCGGTACTAGATTTGAATTTTCAAACAATCCTCACTGTCCAACGGTCACATACCAACAACGGTTACATTGTCCAACGTTTTAAATTTCAAATCAAACTTTGTTCATTTACTCTCTGTGTCTCTGTCTCTCTTTCTCTCTCACGCAAGAACACACTTCAATCTCTTCTTCTTCTTGTCATCTTTCATTCAGATCTCGTTTCATAAATTCGTGGGCAGTTCATTTCTCTGTGAGTTATCTTTCAAATTGAAGCATGTCAATTTCCAATTCGGAAATGTCTGGAAACAGCAGATTTTTTGGAAGCATATCTGCGTCGGTGCCATTCAAGAGTTTGCTCCCCAGATCGAAGCAGAAGGGGAATTCAAACCGACGCATGAATTTCAGATCTGACGCTGAGAATGTAGCTCCGGTTGATCCGAACATTCGGATTCCAGATCCTCCCCTCTCTGCCAAAATTTCATTCTCCAAAGATCCGCCACGGAAAGCCAAAATTGATCCTCAACCGGCAGAGCTCACCGCCTCTATTGTCCAGGAAAAGGTCTCTGAAGTTCAGGATCCCCCAGTCAAGGTACCCGATAAACCCTAATTTTAATTTGTACTGTACGGAGTAAAGTTTTACTATGATTATTGTTCCAATTTCTGAAATTGGATACTTAGTTTGGATACTTCGACTGTGATTAGCTCCAGAATTCAAATTTGATAAGCTTCTGTGTAATCTGACGATAGGTCGTGGTGAGGATTAAGCCAGATGATGATCTTGGAATTGGGGAAACTTTGGCGAGAAAAATTTCGAAGGATTCACTGGCTGTTGATGACAGAAATTACACTTTTGCTTCGGTGTTGAACACAAATTCAACTCAGGTTCGATATCATTCATGCAATTGTATATTATATCCACAAGTAGAACAGCAATGTCTTCTGTTTGAAGCCTCGAATTTCTTGCCTGTTATATGTCAGATTAATGTGAATTATTAGTAATTTTTCTTGTGCTTGTCGAATTTAGGAAGACGTATACCAATTAGTGGGGGACCCTGTGGTTAAGGATGCACTATCTGGTTATAATACATCAATTGTGGCTTATGGACAGGTACAGGTTAACATATATTCATATCTTAATCTGAATTTCATCAAGAATGGCTTCCGAGTCCAGATTTTTTTGACTTAGAAGTTGTTTATTTTTATGATTTTTAGACTGGAAGTGGCAAGACTTACACAATGTGGGGACCTCCAAGTGCCATGGTTGAGGGTGCAGCCAGTGGTCTTCAAGGCATTGTGCCAAGAATTTTTCAGAATCTCTTCTCTGAGATTCAAAAGGTTTATTATTTTACTTTTTACCTAATCATGGTAAAAAATTAGGTATTTACTTTAAGTTTTATTTACTGTTTCTATATCATCATCCAGGAGCAAGGGAATTCTGATGGAAAACAAGTGAATTATCAGTGCCGCTGTTCGTTCCTAGAGGTGAAATCCCCTGTTTTTTAAAGAAAATGTGTGATGATTCCATCTGTTTCCTTAATCATATTGGCTTGTGTTGTAGGTTTATGATGACAAAATTGGTGATTTACTTGATCCAACTCAACGAAACTTGGAGGTTAATCACTTACACTTCCCTTTTAAGGGAATGTTAACGTTTTGGATTGTGATTTGTGAAACTTGGTTTGAACTGTTGTTGATGTAATTATTGTAGATAAAGGATGATGTCAAGAGTGGATTTTATGTAGAGAATTTGACAGAGGAGTATGTAACCTGCTATGAGGATGTTGCTCAAATGTTGATTAAGGTACACAGGATGGTTTCAGCGCGCGCGCGCACACACACACACACATATATATATATTCATGTTTTTCTTTTTATCATTATTGAAGAGTACTCAGCAATCACTTATATTCTGCAGGGGCTGTCGAATAGAAAGACGGGCACAACAAGAATCAACTCAAAAAGTTCGAGATCTCATATAATGTTCTCATGCATAATTGAGTCTTGGTGCAAGGTAGGGGATGCCAGCGATGCTCGATTATCTTCCATATACTATAAATCTCAAAAAAATTGTACATCTTACAGTGAAATTTGTTCTTTTTGTTTATACTGTACTTCAGGAATCATCATCAAAGTGCTTTGGTAGTTCAAGGATAAGCAGAATCAGTCTGGTTGATCTTGCTGGATTCGAGGGTAATACACTCGACGATGCCAGCAAGCAACATGTGAGAGAAGGAAAATATATAAAGAAGTCTACATCACAGCTTGGGTATGTTCTTGAATCTGGTTTTGGCCTATTGGCTTTTACACTGTCTTGTCCGATGGATTTTGATACCTGTAATCGTTACCATAACAAATCAATATACTTACACTTAGACTGGGGTTCATATCATACAGGCGCTTGGTAAACATCGTTGCAGAAGGAAGTCAGTCAGGGAAATCCGAAGAAGTTCCCTATCGAAATTCTCGTCTAACTCATCTGCTAAAGGAGTCACTCGGCGGCAATGCAAAGCTCTCGATTGTATGCGCCATTTCGCCGCACAAAATGTAATGTATTATCCATTTCTTTTGATATTTATCGAAACTTAGATTCTAATGCAAATATTGATCTTTGTTCAATGCTGTTCTTCTCCTTTCCGCAAACAGGAATAGTAGTGAAACTTTAAGCACTCTCAGATTCGGACTGCGAGCGAAGCTCATGAAAAACGAACCTGTCGTGAATGAAATAACAGAAGATGATGTGAACGACCTGAGCGATCAAATCCGGCAGTTGAAGGTATTGTTGGCTTTTCCATATTAAAGAACTCGATGAAGCTTCTTCCGAGCCACATTTCTAATGACATTAGTCGAATGCAGGAAGAACTAATGCGAGCCAGGTCGAGTGCGTGTGTCGACTCTTTTAGCAGCCATCAAGGATTCTTCCATAAGGGGAATGCACGCGAGAGCTTGAATCAACTAAGACTAAGCCTCAATCGATCACTTATGTTGCCGCGCATAGAAAATGATTCGGAAACAAATCTTTCCATTGATGAGGAAGACGTGAAGGAGCTAAAGCTTCATATCGACAGTATAAGAAACTCCAACGAGGCAGAGCATGGAGAGAGCACCGTCTTATACTCCGCAGAGGGTTGTGAGACAGAGTACACTTGTGAACACTATTTAAGCTGCTCAGATAGTGAGACTGACGAGATTGATTCAGGCAAGGCAGCAGCTCTGTCCGAATCAGTTGCATCAATTGACGAGCCTGTTAAAAACTCGATGATCATAGAACTTTCGAGGGATCAGTCCTCCTTCCTTCCAGGTCCTGAGTTGTCCGAGTCTCCGAAAATTAAAATCTCCCCAAGGAAAAGCTCAGCTTTCACATTGAATAACCTCGAGGGTGACGCAGAAAAAGCTTCGAATAATCTTGATCTGACAAGGCAGGAAAACATTCGATCATCCTCCTTGAGATCTAGCCGAATATTCTCAGGCCCTACTGATTCCTTGGCTGCTAGTCTTCATAAAGGATTGCAGATTATCGAATCTCACCAGAAGGATGCCGCGAGATCGTCTGTCTCCTTCTCTTTCGAACATCTAGCACTCAAGCCATGCCTATCCCCTGAAAAGGCCAATGCTTCTGTCCAGACTTCACATGCAGGACGACGATCTTCAGATAAAATATTAGACTCATTCGTATGCTCGAAATGTCGAGGCAGCAGCAGTGCAAGCAATGGAGCCGAGAACACTTCAAAGGTTTGTTAAAAAAAGCTAACGATTCTTACCTCAATTATGCTACGATCGCAATATAGTTCTTTCTTTAACGATCTGTCTCTTTTTTTGCAGGGCATTGAGAAAGACTTAGTTTTGGCTGTTGAGAGAGAGAAGGAGCTGAATAATGTTTGCCAAGATCAAGCTACTCAAATCGAAAATCTAAAGAAAATGGTATTAGACAATTTTAATCGATTTTACGATGAGTTATGGGATTGTTGTTCTAGCCTAAACCGCGATAACTTCTAAATCTTTCTGCAGCTAGAGAAATGCAAGTGCACGAATGTATGTCGCAGCTCTTCGAACTTTGGCCTTTTGAAGCACCCACTGAATCCAATCAACGAGGACGAAAATGAAACTAAGGTTTATAGAAAAATCACTCTCAAGCTATCATACTCTGCGCCTATGGTGAAATTATCTGTGTTCTTACCTCTGGTGTATTCTTTTACAGCTCTTGACATGGAATGATGAAGAAAATTCTGAAACGGAATGTGAGGTAAAGGAAATTCGGGACTTGAGTATCAGCACTAATGCGACGAAATCCTTTGCTCCCGAAGACAGGGAAGAGCTTCTCAAAGAGATCGAGGTTCTTAGGAACAAACTGCAGTTCCAAACTGATGCAACAATGGGAAGATCGACCGACAAGATTCGATCATCGTTGCTGTCGCAATCAATCCAGCTGAGAAAAAGCTCTGCATTTTCTCAAGCTAATAGTTTGGAGGAATTTGAGAAAGAAAGACAGAAATGGATGGAAATGGAGAGCGACTGGATTTCACTGACTGATGAACTGAGAATTGAGATCGAGTCCAATCGCCGGCGAGCCGAGAAGGTGGAGACGGAGCTGGCGCTAGAGAAGAAATGTACGGAAGAGCTCGACGACGCACTCAAAAGATCGGTTGTGAACCATGCAAGAATGATCGAGCATTACGCGGAGTTGCAGGACAAGTACAACGATCTGGAAGCGAAACATCGCGCAATAATGGAAGGTATCGCCGAGGTGAAAAGGGCAGCTTCGAAAGCAGGCGCGAAAGGCCGGCAAGGGTCTCGTTTCGCAAAGGCGCTCTCGGCAGAGCTTTCGGCATTGAGAGTCGAGCGAGAGCGCGAACGGGAATTACTGAGGAAGGAAAATCAAAGTCTGAAAATCCAATTAAAGGACACTGCCGAAGCTGTGCACGCTGCAGGCGAACTTCTCGTAAGGTTGAGAGAAGCCGAAGAAGCTGCTTCTCAGGCTGAGGTAATTTCCGAGCCTCTAGTTTAAATTAACAATCGAAATCGAGTTTATACGATTCATTTTTATGAGTTTTCTGCAGGGGAAGAACTCGTCGATTCAAGAAGAAAACGAAAAGTTGAAGAAGCAGATGGAGAAACTGAAGAGAAAGCATAAGATGGAGATGATCACAATGAAACAGTACTTAGCAGAGAGTCGATTACCGGAGGCTGCGTTAAGACCTTCGCTATATCGACAAGATTCAGATAAAGTCGAGCATTGCGACGCATTGGCAGACGACGATCAGGCTTGGAGGGCAGAGTTCGGGGCGATATATCAAGAGCACTACTAAAATAAGTATCGTATTATACGTTGCTGACCTTGCTCGGGTCTTGCGATTCGTAGAGCCAAACCGGACTACACAATTTGAGGTTTGCTCTCGATATATTTGATGTGTTTGAATCATGTTAGTTTTAATCGTCGTATATTCATTCATTCGTGTGGCATCGAGCTAAAACAAACTACATGAGTTTTAAATGACGCGTATTTTGCTTGATTTCTATGGCTCGATACGACTTGTTAGCCATGTTAGAGGCTTTTCTATCGTTGTACGGATATCTTGTTTATGACGAAGAACATCGATATACAGAAAATGCAACGATTTCGACATAGTTTGATAGAATGAGGTGAAGTTAGTTGTAACATATAAATTGGCTTTGAATGTCATTGCAAGTATCGACAAACTTGTCACCGCAAAGTCATAGTTTTTAACCCCATTGATTTTAAAACATGGCTTGTCCGACTAGTGTGATTTATAGACTATTATGTTCGGACTTGAAATTTGACAAGTTTATATGAATTTATGTATTTTCTATAGTAAATCAAATATGTGTATGCAACAGGTTCGGGGATGAACTTATGATCATAAAATCATAAATTTGACGAACAGCAATAACTAATTTTGACTTTACAGAAATAAAAATTATATGAATAGAAGTGAATGTAACATGTTGAAGATATAGAAATGAAAAAATAAAAAAAAATAAAATAATGTTAATGGAACTGAATGAAACATGTAGTAGTACAATCTTATTTGATATATTAATTGTTAGATCTATCTATCTAATGAGTTAGGCGTAAATGCTACTAGGGTGAAAATAGGCTTTTTAAAGTGTATTTAATTAATTAAAATAGCTTAGGTTTATTTTTATTTTTTTTATTTTTTAAAACTTATCATACAAGTCTATTTATATATAATTTTAATTTAATATATAAAATTATTATATTTTTGAATATTTATAACTTTTATTAAAAAATATAGATTTAGTGACAATAATTAAATATAAAATTTATTTATTTTAACTATAATTATATATACACATAAAAAAATTCTTGTATTTATTTATTTATTTATTTTATTTTACCAATATTGAATTTATTATTTTTTTTTATTAAGTATGTGAAAATTTATTGCTTGAATAATGTCTTAGCCGTTTGTAAACAACACGGTAAAGTGAAGTGAAACAAAATTTAAATTCACGATCTTACAATCACATGTTCATCTCACACCACAAGACACCACCGAGTCATACCACACGGGACAAAGGTATCTTCACTCTCGGAATCACATACAATGGTTCTTTCCTTCTCAACGTAAGGCCCGCGGCTTCGGCCATGTCCAAATCTTCGGGTTTCATTCCGTCGGGCAAAGCCCAATCGAAGTGGTAGAGAAGCATCGCCAAAGCATGCTCGACATTAGCGAGGCCAAATGATATTCCGGGGCAAATCCTTCTTCCGGCGCCAAAGGGAAGGTATTCGAAGTTGTTCACTTTAAAGTCGACCGGATTATCAAGAAATCTCTCAGGGATAAAACTATCAGGTTCTTTCCAGTACTTGGGATCTCTTCCAATCGCCCATGCATTCACCAAGACTCGAGTTTTTCGGGGTATTTTGTATCCGAAGATTTCACACTCCTCCATACTTTCTCTCGGAAGCATTATGGATATCGGCGTATGGATCCTTAGAGACTCTTTTATTACTAACTTTAGATACTTGAGCTCGTCGAAACAAGACTCATCGACAAATCCCTTGTCCTTGAAAACCATTCTTACCTCGTCTTGCGCTTTCTTATAGACACTCGGGCGCCTAAGCATTTCCACCATAATCCAATCCGTAGTCATCGAGGATGATTCAATTCCGGCGACAAACACATTCTATATATATGCACAATGATTAGAAAATTGGAAGGACTCAATAAAAATCGAATACCAAAAAAATGAATTCAGAAGCTCGGCGACAAACCAGTAAGACGGCTTTTATATTGTCGTCCGTTAGCTGTATTTGGTTTCCCGAATCATTAAACTTCAGAAGATCGTCTACGAAATCTTCGTGCTGTTTCAACTCATCCTCTGATTTTGTTTCTCTGTGTTCGTTGATAACCTTTTCGAGTATCTTATCCGCCTTTTTGTGCAGCCTCTCTACCTTGCCTTTTATCGTGTTGAATTGTCGAAAAAAACTGATAGAAGGATAGAAATCCGCGAGATTGAGTCCAACACCAATTAGCTCGGCGCTCTCGTTGGCTATGGCGGTGAATTTTCTTAGTTCGTCGCTCTTTTTCCCAAGCGACGCCTGAATTACAATTTCACAAGTAGTGAATCCGATCTTCTCTGTCAAGTTGATCGACAAACCTTCTTTAGACGCGATCCATTCGCACAGATTCGTAAACTCTTGTTCTCTTAAAGCGCGGAATGATTGGACTCGTGTCGCGCTCAACAGCTCCACTGTGAAGAACTTGCGCATTTGTCTCCAGTATTCGCCGTATGGCGACATTACCAAATCCGAGTGGTTGTAAAGTACAATATCGGTCGCAATGGTTACCGGTCTGTTAAAAAAGTTGAGTTCATGCGTCTTCATGATTTCTTTCGCGGCTTCGGGCGAGGAAATCACGACGGTGCTAACTTGGCCGAGCTGTAGGTGCATCACCGGTCCATATTTTTCGGCCAAGTCACTCAAGAACAGGTGTGGAAGTTTCGAAGTTGTGATCAGCTGGTGCAAGTTCCCGATCAGCGGCAGCTTCCTCGGCCCCGGAGGAAGATTCGTATTCGGATCGGGTATGGATCGGGTAATTACTCTAAAAAACTTTGCTAGAAAAAAGAAGGAAACGACAGTAATGAAGAATAATGAGAAGTCGAAATCCATTTTTGGAGTTCTTTGATATCTCAAATGGAGCTTAGCATATTTATAGAGAGGTGTGTTTTGTTTTTGTATTTTTAGTTTGAAGTGTTTTTACTGTTAGGTGTAGAAAATAATATTACTTCCGTCTCATAATAATATATTTATTTATTTTTTTGCCGTTGTTATAATTAGTATTAAAGATAAATTTATAATTTGTTAATGTAACATTCATATTATACAAATATCATTATATTTGTCTTATACAATACTATTAGAAATATTTTGTTGATTTTTCAATTAGTTTGAAATCAACTATTCATTCGATGGGATTCTCAATAAAAAAAAGTATATTATTTATTTTTATAAAATATTATATCAAAGTAATATTTAAATAAAAATTCAAATCTAACATCTAATTTCAAACTATAACTAAACAAATATAAATCGCATTAAAGTATGATATTAATAAGTTTTCACATAAAATTAAATGAAGTAGACACCTAATATAGCAATTGAAGCTGGCCAAACTTTTTCCATCTTTTAGTAATTCACGACAGTTCGTCACATTTCAATCGATCTAACCCCAAAATTTGTTTCTTTTCAGCTGATCGATCCCTCAAAAAATCATTGCTGTGTATCGATCCATACTCCACTTTTTAGGTTCATATTTGTTTTCAAACTATACGACGTATCCTTTTGTTTGTCCTCAGTCGTGGGTGGTCGGAGATTGTCGATTTTGTCCTAATCCAACCAGAACTAGCTACCCACGAATGAAGCCATTATTTCTTACTGCAAAAAAAAAAAAGAAAAAAAAAAAAAAAGGCAAGCTAGTGAAGTCTTGACATTAATAACTCGATCGACTTGTTCTTATGACATCCACAAATTAAGCAAGAATGATAACAAAGAGGTAGCCTTTTCCGACAATTTATTGATATATTTTATTATGGTAATATCCATCTTAGGATTAAATTAATTGTAACTTATACTCCTTCCGTCCCATGTAATATGAGTTTATTACTGTAGACACGGATAAAATATAATTAGTAAGTAATTAAGAAGTGTATTAGTAAAAATAATTATAGATTAAGATAAGTAAATAATTTAATTAAAATTAAGAAAATTATAAAATTTTAAATTTAAAATGCGTAAAGTGTATAATTATATTTCCAAAAATAGAAAGGACAAATTACGTGGGATCGAACGAAAATAGAAAATAAGGATAAATTATGTGGGATGGACAAAAATAGAAAATAAGAACACGGAGGGAGGGACTATTACACTATATTGTTATGATGTGTTGTGAATTTATAGTTTATATAATTTTTATTCTCTAATGACCCTAACAACTGTTACGTGCATATATTTTTCACATATGCACTGTCATATATGACTTTTAATAAATATACTGTATGAATATTAGGGTTACTTATACAAGATTAAAAATAAATAAAATAAATAACTACTTTTTAAATTCATTCGACTGTGCGTTTGAATTTTGTATTTTATGTTTAAATAATTGAGGGATGTAATATTTTATAAGAAAAAAAAAATGTATTTTTATATGAAATATTAAGAATTACATACTAAATTAATATATTATTATTTTAAAGATCATATGATTTGTTTGTCTAATATTTTTTTTCTACACTATTCATGTATTTTACATTAAAAAAAAATTCTTTAAATCAAAATAATAAACAAAAACCAAAACCCTACAATCCCATCTTTATATACAATCCATTCTAAAATTTAAGCATACAATTCAAAGGATTCTACACAAAGCAAGTAATCGATACATCGAAACATAAATCCAACAATCTCCCAACTGAATCGAGAAAGTTCCCGTTGATCGGGAACTTGCATCTCTTTGCTAGTTCCGTGGCGCCACATCGAATACTAGCCAACTTAGCCTTGAAATATGGTCCCTTGATGCACTTGAAGCTCGGCGAAGTCTCCACGATCGTGGTTTCATCATCCGAAGTGGCCGAACAAATCCTAAAAACACATGACATCAATTTTGCCAATAGGCCATCACTCTTTGTGCCCGAGAAAACTTATCAGTGTACCGATATAGCATTCGCCCCATAAGGTGAATACTGAAGACAGTTGCGCAAAATTTGCATGTTAGAGCTTTTGAGCAAGAGACGCGTCCAATCTTTCCGAACTTCGAGGGAGAAAGAGTTTTTGGGTATGTGCCTATGGATAGCGGAAAAACAAGGGTCAACGATCAACTTGACTGCAAAAATCGACTCCACTCTATTCGATAGTTTTGTACAGGCATCCGTCGGGAGAATGAGTCGCAAACAAGGTGTTCTTACATCCACAATCAAAGAAGTGATTGCGCTCATTTCGGGCTTTTTGGTTGTCGACATGTATCCCTCCATCAAAGCATTGCAAGCAATAACCGGAATGAAACACAAAGCAGAACAGTTGCACAAAAAGTTCCGTACGATATTTCAAGAAATCATCGAGGATCACAAAGTGGCCGCGGGTGAATCCAAACAAAGCGAGGATTTGATCGATGTCCTCTTAAGGTAAAACGACGCCGGGCACGAGCTGTATTTAACTACCGATAACATTGAAGCTGTCATGGTGGTGAGTTCATTTTAACATAGACGATCTATTTGACTCCTCTCTGGTAACCAATTTCGATCTCACGTTGAAACAGGATATGTTCGGAGGTGGGATTGAAACGATATCCGCGACTGTAGATTGGGCCATGACGGAAATGTTGAGACATCCCCGAGTCCTTCAAAAGGCACAAGACGAGGTTAGATCAGGGTTGTAAACAAATCAAATAATCTAATTTGATTCAATTTGAAATCTTGTGATTCAAATTGAATACAAATGTTCTATTAGAGCAACTCCAACCGACTCCATATTTGAAAAAATTCTTCAAGTATCGAGTCAAAACTCTTGAATATTGTCCCACCTTGGTAAAGGTGTGTGAACTCTCTTGGTTTACAAGGGTGAAGACCCATCCACTTATCACCAATTGGTTTTAGATTGAGAATTTAAATTCCATTATAACATGGTATAAGAGCCATGGTGCCGTAGTGAGTAGGGATCCTGTATGAATTTTCGAGATTATGATCTCGAGAGGGGAGTGTTGAATATTGTCCCACATTTGTAAACATGTGAAAACTCTCTTGGTTTATAAGGGTGAATGACTCCTCCAATTACTTTTAGATTGGAAGTCCAGATTCCATCAATGATGGGAAAAATTTTTATTTTTCAAAATATCCTGATAAATTATTATTATTATTTTTTATTTTATATCTCTGACCTCTAATTTATGACTTTAAATAGATCCTATTTGAAAATAGTCATTCAAAATAAAAAAATTAGATTGGAAGCCTGGATCCATTCCTAACAAAAATAGCTCCAATAGTCTCCATTTATCCTCCAAATTTGGAGTCATTCAAATTCAAAGTAATTTTTTTTTTAAGAAAATAGAGGAATCGATTAAAGATAATCTTAGATTTTACTATGAATCAAATATAAATATGAGATTTTCATATTCGATTCATTTACAATCCTAGGTGAGACACACTTTCAAGGACAAGGGATTCGTCGAAGAGTCGGAGATTGATAAACTAAAGTACCTCAAGTTAGTCATCAAGGAGATCCTCCGGCTACATCCACCGATACCTTTATTACTTCCGAGAGAAAACTTGGAGGAATGTGAAATTAATGGATATAAAGTAGCCGCAAAGACGTAGGTTCTAGTGAATGCGTGGGCGATTGGAAGAGATCCAAAAAAGTGGAAAGATCCCGAAAGCTTCTTACGGGAGAGATATCTCGAACTTATGGAGCTTGATTACACGGGGACTAAGTTGGAATATATCCCTTTTGGTGCCGGGAGAAGGATTTGCCCCGGAATATCGTTCGGGCTCGCGCACGCCGAGCTCTCGCTCGCCATGCTTCTCTATCACTTCGATTGGGTTGCGCCGGAAAATTTGGACATGATGGAGACCTTTGGTGCAACGGCGAGAAGGAAAAATTCGTTTCATGTTACTCCTATTGTTAGAAATCCTTTTGCCAATGTAATTTTACTGTGTTTTATGGAAGTAATAAATGACAATTAAAGATATTTTATATTTTATTTTTAATATAATTAATTGAGTTTTACTATTGTGTACAATTTTTCTTTTTTTTTTTTTATGAATTTTTTGTTTTAGGAATTATATAAATATATATTTTTTTAATTTTTAGATATTTTGTAAAAAAATAATAATGTATATTTATTTATAAATATAAGTAATTTTTTTTTCATTGTAAATTATGTAAAATATAATATATATATATATATTTGGATATGTGTTTTTATTATGTTAATTAATTTATTATTTCACTAGCTTATAACTTTTAAGTAAGTTTATTTCATTCTAAAATAAAATTTATTATGTGATAAAAATTTGTATATTAAAAAGAAATTTGTAATAGTAAGATTTTCTATTTTGCTTTAATTTTTAAAAAATTAAATATTTTACAAATAAAAAAATAAAAAATAGCAAAAAAATTCTATGGTTGCTAAATTTGCTGAAAAGACCATTTGGGTATTAAAATTTTATTTTACTTACTTGATTCATATAATGTTGCAATTAATACCTTATCTATTAGCATTTAAAAGAGATTATTACAAATCCATAAATAACATATTAGATGATAGAAACTAGTTTTAAATAATTTTAATCAGCTCGGATAGGGTGCAAAATTCTTATTTTCAGCACCCATGCTGATTTGTTAAGTTTAAATAATATTTAATTATATAATCTAAGATAATTATATAAAAGATAGAATATTCATTTTTTTTTTTTTCGGAAAGATATAATATTTTTAAAAATATAAAGAATAAGGGGTACAAAATTGAAAGATATAATATTTAATATATATATATATATATATTTTTTATCGGAAAAAAATAATTTTAGAGCAATTCAGACAATCTTTTGACTACCTCAAACAATGGCGTAGCCTAAAGAGGGCCCAAGGATGTTAGGCCCGTAATTATTTTAATTCTTTTATTTTGTGTATATATTGCAGAGAAAATTGCAAAAAATATGTCGCACTTATATATAGTATTATCACTTTTGTCTTTATTTGTCTCGTTGGTAAAATATATCTCACATGTTTATAAAATCGCTATTTATGTTATATGTCTGCTCGTGATATTCACACCACGCGTCGTTACGCGCGGTTAAATGATAGAAATAACTACTTTTGCAAATATGTGGTATATATTTTGTCAGCGAGATAAATACAAAATAAAAGTGATAATGAGGTACAAGTGTGATATATTTTTTTGTAATTTTCCAATATATTGTATAAGTATAATTTTTAAAAATTAACAACAAAATAAAAAAATTGGACAAAACAAAATTTTTTATAACTCATACTCCTTCTGTCTCAGAACTAGCACGAGATTTAAGAAATATTGATATTATATTGACAGTTGGTAAAAAGTATAAGTAAAAGACTTTTTTTGCCTTTGTGAGTGTATTAATATAAAAAGTAGTGGCAATTGTGTAATAATACGAAGAGTAAGGATAGTTTTACAGTGATATAGTTATTTATGGAAAAAAAACTATTCTTTTGAAACAGACAAAAATAGTAAATAAGACTATTTTATTGAGACGGAGAGAAACAAACAAATCCCTCAAGTTTTACCGTTTTGTGCAAGTTGATAAAAAATAATTTTCGATGTTAAAAACTTATAATTAATTGACATCAAGTTTTTTTTCTATTTAAATATATATATATATATATATATATAAAAGTCTAATAAATTATTTTACAACTACCTACTCTATGTGACGATTATTTCATTATATATAAAATATACAAATTAAGGACACAGATCCCATGTTGATTGGATTTGACTTTGATACATCATATGTAATAAATGTAACCAATATACTCCCTCTGTGTCAGATGCTATGTCCACGCTACCGTTTATGTCCGTCTCATATGCCATGTCATTTTTCTTTTTTGAAAAATGATTACACATTTTAATCTCATTTTAAATTTTTATTTTTTTTAATTTTAATTAAACTAATTAGTTATCTTAATTTTAATTTATAATTATTTATATTATAGGATAATTATTTTCACTAATACATTCTTAATTATCTACTAATTACACCCCTTCTAAAATACCGTGTCTACAGTGTAGCAAATACGGTATGTGGAACGGAGGGAATATATTTTATATAGTAGAATATATTTATAATATAATACTCTCTCTGTTCCATAAATATAATTTTAACTGAATTGGACATGAAATTTAAGGAATATTAATATTATATTGGTAGTGAATAAAAAATATGGATAAATTTATTATTATTTTTTTTATCTTGTGAGTATATTAGTGTAAAAAATAATTGAAATTGTGTAATAAAAATGAAAAAATAATGGTAGTTTTACGGTGATATAGTTATTTATGAAAATAAGACTATTGTTTTGAGACGGACAAAAATAATAAACAATGGGACGGATGAAGTACTATATATTATATTCTAACTCACCATATATAATTTTACAAATTTTTCTAAATAGCAAATAATTATCTTTCTAATAAAATGCGCTATACTTTTCTCATCATATTATTCAAATAAAAAAAAAATAATTACATCATTTTCTTTTTTATTATATCGTCTTTATTTTTAAATTATCTTACTTAATATTATTCACTTTAATTCTCGTGTCGAAAATCAACTGTATCACCTTTGAAGTATTATGTAAAAATATATATTGTGTGTGGTTATTTATTATATATGTTTGATTAAGACTCAATCAAAATAACCAATCCGATATGTTATTTCAAATGGATACGCTCGACAACAAATCTTGTCAATGGATACAACAATTATAATAAATTCATTAAATAATACACCATGTAACAATCTTACAGTTTAAAATTTTCAAAATACCTCAGTTATAATTTCCCGTTATTATATTAAAATTTAATCAGCATAATAATAATAATAATAATAATAATAATAATAATAATAATAATGATGATGATGATGATGGTAGGCATAAAAAAATTAAAATCTTAAATTAAATTAAATATCATATATATGGAAAGAAAATAAAATTTCGATAAAATAAATATGCGATATTTAATCTGCACATATTTAATATTTGTACAATAAATATCAATTATTAATACAAAAATTTATTTAAAATGAAATATATCGGTGCACAAATAGAATCATAATAAATTTGAAGATACACAAATAGAATCATAATAAATTTGAAGATATTTATTATATTAATTATAATACTTCCTTTTTCATATATGCCACTTTTCATTTTAAAAGGATTTGAGTGCGTACCTTCCTTTTTAGTGAAGATTTTTATATCATTTTTTTTCTCGAAAGATATTAATTTAAATATTTCTTTTGTTGTCGAAATTAATTTATTTTGTTGTCAAATTTATTATAACTCCGTTTATGCACGTAATATTTGTATGCTATCTTTCATTTTAAACAAATTTTTGCATTAATAGTTGATACTTATCGTACAAATATTAACATAAGTGCATAATTAAATATCATATATTTATTTTATTAAAATTTTATTTTTTTCAATATATATATATATATATATGATATTTAATTTAATTTAAATATTTAATTTTCAATACCTAAAATAACTTGCACACAATCCCCTCTCGATTTAATCGGGTTTAAAATTTTAAAATCCATAACCCGCCTTAAATGTTAAATTTTCAATAACTCATCGCTAACGTACTTATATATATATATATTATTACATACACTCATACGATATGTACAATTCATTGCAATTCTACGAAATCTTGATTCTTGATGGATATCGATATCTCATCCCTTGTTCTAGTTTCTTTGCTCGTATTTTTTATGTCGCTTTATATCTTCGCCACTCAGACGAAACGAAAATCCAACAATCTTCCACCAGGGCCAAAAAAGCTCCCGTTGATCGGGAACTTGCACCTTTTTGCTAGTTCCGTCGCGCCACATCGAGTCCTAGCCGACTTAGCCTTGAAATACGGCCCGTTGGTGCACTTACGACTCGGCGAGGTCTCTACCCTCGTGGTTTCATCGGCAGAAGTTGCAGAAGAAGTTATGAAAAAACACGACCTCAACTTTGCCAATCGACCGTCGCTCTTCTTAGTAGAGATGTTTTACAAAGATGCCGATATAGCATTCGCCCCGTACGGTGAGTACTGGAGACAGTTGCGTAAAATTTGCACGTTAGAGCTCTTGAGCAAGAGACGTGTCCAATCTTTCCGGCCGTCGAGGGAGAAAGAGATTTTGGATATGTGTAGACGGATAGCTCAGAAGGAAGGGTCCGTAATTAACTTGTCCGAAAGAATCGAGTCTACTCTATTTAGCGCTCTCGTAAAGGCATCCGTCGGGAAGATTGCTAACAAAGAAGGAATCCTTGTATCCACGATCAAAGAAAGCGTCGATCTTGTATCCGGTTTCTCCGTCGTGGATATGTATCCTTCCATCAAATTGCTACGACTAATCAGCGGAATGAAACGCAAAGTAAAGCCGATGCACGCTAAAATCGACGCGATATTACAAGAAATCATCGACGATCACAAAGTGGCCATCGGTGAATCCAAACTGCGCGAAGATTTTGTCGATGTCCTATTGAAGTTCAATGACGCGGGAAGCGATCTATATCTAACTATCGACAACATAAAAGCCGTCCTTTTTGTGAGTAATTTTTTTTCTTATAAAGATTCTACTCGACTCCTCTCCGTTAACATCTTTCGATCTCTATTTCAAACAGGATATGTTTGCCGGTGGGATCGAAACATCATCCGTGACCATAGATTGGGCCATGGCGGAAATGTTGAGACACCCCCGAGTTCTTCAAAAGGCACAAGACGAGGTGAGACGCGTCTTCGCAAACAACGGATTCGTCGAGGGGTCCGAGTTCGATAAACTAAAGTACCTCAAGTTCGTCGTCAAGGAGATCCTCCGACTACATCCGCCGTCTCCTTTACTACTCCCGCGACAAAACTCGGAAGAATGCGAAATTAACGGATACAAAGTAGCCACAAAGACGAAGGTTCTTGTGAATGCGTGGGCAATTGGAAGAGATCCAAAAATGTGGAAAGATGCCGACAGTTTTATACCAGAGAGATATCTTGATCTTCATGAGATCGATTACAAGGGGAATAATTTCGAATACATTCCTTTTGGCGCCGGGAGAAGGATTTGCCCCGGATCTTTATTCGGGCTTGCGTACGTCGAGCACGCGCTGGCCGCCCTTCTACTTTACTTCGATTGGGTTTCGCCGGAAAATGTCGACATGGCCGAGTCCTTCGGGGCTACGGCGAGAAGGAAATATCCGCTTCGTGTTATTCCGATTGTTAGAAATCCTTTGCCTATGTAATTTTATTACGATGTTTTACTATGTTACGGAGTTAATAAATGAAATCAGTCATTAGGGCGTTTGTGTAGTAAACAACGTATGGTTTATAAAATATTAGTGTGTTGTTTCGCAAAATTTGAATTGGAATAGTCGTGTGATGTGATATAAATAGGTGTTGATGTGATGTTTTGAATGTAAAATTAATTTTTAGTATAATATAAAAAATAAAAAATTAAGTATTTGATTTGATGTTTTTTAGGAAAAAAATGGGATTAATAGTGTATTTAAAATCCGATCCCCAAACGAACACACCCATAGTATATTATCTGGTATATATTATAAATACAGTAAGGATGTGTTTGTTTGGGGATTAGATTGGATTTACGCTATTCATCTCATTTTTTCCCCCAAAAAACATCAAATCAAACACCTATTTTTTATTTTTTATATTATACTAAAAATCAATTTTACATTCAAAACATCACATCAACACCTATTTATATCACATCATACAATTATTCATATTCAAAATTTTTACTATTCAAATTTTAACTCAAAATTCAAACCCCCAAACAAACACAGACTTATTAAAGTCCCGCATTGAAAAATTAAAAGAAAAAGTCACGATCCTTTTAAGTTTCAAATTAACTCTACTAATAAAAAGTTTTTTATCTTAGGCCCAAGGCTATTTCAGTTTGGATCTGAATAAAATATAATCAATTTTAGAGTGGCTAAAATATTTAGAAATTAGTCCAATCCTATTTACTCTCTTGAGCTATTTAATTTTGTATGTGAGAAAATGGTTGAAGCAATTCCAAACCCAAGCCAATTCTAGATCAATTTTTAATGAAAAGGCCCATATTTTTTAATGAAAAGGCCCATATTAAGATCCAAAATTGAACTCAAAACTCAAAGTTCATAGATTTGAAAATCTAAAAAAATAAAATAAAAAATATAAGAAGAAAAACAAATAAAAAAAACGAAATAAGAATAAAAAATAGGCTTTAGAAATCATCTTTTTATTTATACCAGAATCAACCAACACACCCCTCATGACTGAATGCAATGATGAAAATAAGACGTAAGCCTCTTAGATTTAACTAATCGACTCACCTAAAAGATTAAATTATGATGTAAATAATCGACTCATTTATTTATTTATCTACAGAATGAGTCAACCAACAAAAATAAATTAGGAATAAGATGATATGATAAAGAAAAATTAATTAATTTTTTTTTATTTCTATGATGTGATAAATATAGTTAATTATTTGTTATTTTGGAAATATTGCAAGGTATGCGAGATAGATCAAAATAAAAAAATATTACAGAGTATATGAGACGAAGAATATACATTTTAACTCAAATTATAACTAAATAACATATCATTACTCACCGAACCTCTAATTATATTTTTATTGAATATATTTTATTGAAGTATAATGTTTTAAACAATTTAAAATGTAATTTAAATTTATTTTTAATCGAATATATATTATATCATACTTTAAATTATATCTAGTTACCATCTCACTACTCGACACTAAAACCAACTTCTAATTACACCTCTCAACTTCGACGCGGTGTTTTTACTTGACGTTCTTTGCATAAATAATCGCTAAGAAAAGGGTAAGTATACACACTTGTTCCTCTTTATTATCATCTTTATTTTTGACTTAATTTGTTGATGACATGAGAAAAAGTCGATCGAGCTATTAATGTCAACAAGAGCTCACTAGCTTATATTTTTTCTTACTTGGTTGCTTTAGAAAATAAAGGCTTCATATACGGAAAATTCTTCTTGGATTAGTACAAAATTGACAACTACGACGATTAACCCATGTTAGGACAATAATTTATTTTTGAACTTTCTCCGAAAGATATAATTCATGTAAAACTTATAAAATGTTAGAATTTCCGTCTGATTGATTGGAGGGGAGGGGAGGGGAGGGGAGGGAATTATAAAAAAATTTATGTTTGGTTCAAACTTTTTTAGAGGTGAGGGGAGGAGAAGGAAGGGGATGAGAGTCAATTTCTTCTAATTTTATTTTCTCCTCCAATTTGGGGGAATTTGGAGTTGAGGAATTTTACCAATTTTTTTTTTATCTAATTACTTATTATACCCTTTACATATTTTATTAGAAATTTTATAACATCTTTCAAAATTTTAATATTTATTTATTTTATTTTTTAATTATATCAAATAAGTATTAATATATATTGAAATTATATTATATATTTTGAAATAGTTTTAATTAATTTTTTAATCAAATTTAATTATAATAATTTTTTAATAAATTAAAAATTAACATATAATTATATCTATAATATTAATATTTTACTTTTTTTTTTCTCATATAATATGAGCATATTAGATTCTAGAATTTAGATAAAATATAATTAGTAAGTAATTAAGAAGTCTACTAGTAAAAATAGTTATTGTATAGTAAAAATAATTATAGATTAAATCTAAGATAACTAAATAGTTTAATTAATATTAAAAAATTAAAAAATAAAAAATAAAAAATATTTTATAATATACTTAATTTATATAATTTTTATAATGTTATTATTTATACGTAAAAGTATTGTTTATCTTTATTGGTAAATTTAATAAATAACTAATGTATAAAGTATTTGATTCTTCCAAGAAGTAATAATGTAATTATTATTTTTATTATATTAGACAAATAAATCTTGTATCACATTTTATAAATAAATTAATCGAATTTTATTAAATACTTTTATTTTTCTTTATTTATATAACACATGGATAAAACAGTAAAATTATTATATTTTTCCTCACCTTGCCTCCCTTTCCCCTCCCTTTGCCTCCCCTTCCTTTTATTAAAATCCCTCCCCTTCCTTCCCCTCATTTGAACCAAACAGACCCTTTAAATCTTTTAATGTGGGGCTTGAATTTATATCTCAACAATCCTCGGTCGAGGAGAAACAAAAGGATATATGTACTATAAAAAAATATCATTTTTGTAACGAGATTTTTTCGTCTTTAAATCCACTTTTTCTGTTACTAATGATATTAGAGACGGAATTAATGATAAAATTTCGTTAGCTACGTGATCTTTAAGGACGTAATTTCGTTACAAATATACTTATTATTTTTTTTTAGTGATGGTACAGTTTGACTACAAATATGACATAATAATTAGAGTATGAATACATACATCTAATCGATTTTTTGAGGGATCTATCAGCTGAAAAAAAAAAAAAAAATCGATTATAATGTGACAGAACTATAGTGAATTCCTAAAAGACTGCAAAATTTTAGTCATCTTCAATTGTTGAATATTATATATGTGTCTACTTCATATAATTTTCTATCAAAGCTTCTTCTATCATACAATGGATTTGCTATTCAACAAGTATACTTGTAGCCTGGTTTGCTTTTTCCAACTTGGGATTGATCAGTTTGAAAAGAAAAAATAAAATAAAATAAAGTAGAATTTGCCATCAACAATTCTTTTACCATTATATTCCACTAAAATGATTTATTTCAAAATTTAAATTGAAAAAAAATATATATTAATAGTATTAATTTTCAAAAATATTACATAAAAGTCATATATATTCCAAATTTTTCTTTTGAATTTTCATCATTCCTTGTTGCATATCTCTTAGACGTTTAAGCATAAATATGCTCGGCTCAATTTCAGATCTCAAAGTGCTCCAAAAATGGATTTCGACTTCTCATTATCCTTCATTACTATCATTTCCTTCTTTTTTCTAGCAATGTTTTTTAGAGTAATTACCCGACCCAAACCCGATTCGAATACAAATCTTCCTCCGGGGCCGAGGAAGCTGCCGATGATCGGGAACTTGCATCAGCTGATCGCAAGTTCAAAACTGCCACACCAAGTGTTGAGTGACTTGGCCAAAAAATATGGACCGGTGATGCACTTGCAGCTCGGAGAAATTAGCGCCGTAGTGATTTCTTCGCCGGAAGCCGCGAAAGAAATCTTGAAGACGCATGAACTCAAATTTTTTAACAGACCGGTAACCATAGCGTCCGAGATTGTACTTTACAACCACAACGATTTGATCATGTCGCCATACGGCGAATACTGGAGACAGATGCGCAAATTCTTCACCGTGGAGCTGCTGAGCGCGAAACGAGTCCAATCATTTCGCGCTTTAAGAGAACAAGAGTTTACGAATTTGTGCGAATGGATCGCGTCTAAAGAAGGTTTGTCGATCAACTTGACAGAGAAGATCGAATTCGCTACTTGTGATATTGTTATGCAGGCGTCGCTTGGCGAAAAGACCGAAGAACTAAGCAAGTTCACACACATAGCGAACGAGAGCGCCGAGCTTTCTTCTGGATTCAATATGCTTGCGGATTTCTATCCTTCGATCGGATTTTTTCGACAATTCAGTCCAATAAAATGGAAGTTAGAGAAGCAGCACAAAGCCGCGGACAGGATACTCGAAAAGATTATCAATGAACACCGATCATCGACAAAGGATGAGCGTAAGCGTAAACAACACGAAGACTTCGCGGAGGATCTTCTCAAGTTTAATGATTCGGGAAACCAAATACAGATTACGGACACCAATATAAAAGCAGTCTTGATGGTTTGTCGTCGCCGAGCTTCTAAATTCAGTTTAACCATATTATAATTCTATCGACAATTTTTGAGTCCTTTCGTGATTTTCTAACTCTTGCGCATGTAGAATGTTTTTACTGCCGGGATTGAAACATCCTCGATGACTACGAATTGGATTATGGTCGACATGCTGAGGAATCCGAGGGTGTTTAAGAAGGCGCAAGACGAGGTAAGAATGGTTTTCAAGGACAAGGGATTTGTCGACGAGTCTTGTTTCGACGAGCTCAAGTATCTAAAGTTAGTCGTAAAAGAGGGTCTAAGGCTCCATCCGGGGCTATCGATACTCTTTCCTCGAGAAAGCACGGAGGAGTGTGAAGTCTTCGGATACAAAATACCTCCGAAAACTCGAGTCTTGGTGAATGCATGGGCGATTGGAAAAGATCCCAAGTACTGGAAAGAACCCGATAGTTTTATCCCGGAGAGATTTCTTGATAATTCGGTCGACTACAAAGTGAACAACTTCGAATACCTTCCCTTCGGTGCCGGAAGAAGGGTTTGCCCCGGAATATCATTTGGCCTCGCTAATATCGAGCTTGCTTTGGCGATGTTTCTCTACCACTTCGATTGGGATTTGCCCGATGGAATGAAACCCGAAGATTTGGACATGGCCGAAAAGGCGGGCGCTACAATAAAAAGAAAAGAACCATTGTATGTGATTCCGAGAGTGAAGATACCTTTACGCAGCCGCGTAGTAGTAACCACATAGCGAACTATTCTTTCGCGCTTTACTAAAGAGAGCGAAGATAGCTTTGCCAACAAAACAAGACTGATGGATATCTCATGTTCGACCAGTTATATATATATATATATATATGTATTTTCTGTAAAAATAACATCCCCTACGTCTTGTTCTTAATGATTTTGGTACTTTTTGTTATGAAAAATAAAACAACTTTGGTAGATTATTTCATTCTTAATCATCTTTTTGGGATAATGGCCTCGGATCTGACCGAGGAGGAGGACATTGGTGGATCTCGACTTTTAATTTAAAATCAATGGGTGACCGAGGGAGTGATCCTTCGCCTTTATAAATTAAGATAATTTTCACATATTTACCAATATGGACAATATTGAACAAGCTCATTGATTTAATTAATTCTTTAGCAGCATTGTGCTGTCTAGATTTTGATTTTGTAGATGTGCAAAATGTAAGGCATTCAATGTACTATTGGACGTACTAATTTGTTGTCTATAAATTTGTTTTTTAAATGGCTTATTGAATTTGGGCATTTGAAAAACAAATTTAGTTTTGCCAAAAATAAAAAATAGAAAATAAAAAATAAAATTCCGGACTTAGTCTTGTGAATTTGGAATTAAATATGTATGAAGGAAAAATAAATAAATAAATAAAAATAATAATAATAATATGGGCTACTTTTATGGGCTCTTATCTTGGGCCATTATTATTATTATTTTCTAATGGTTTTTCATAGGACTTCTTGATTTTTATTTTTATTTTTATTTTTTCTTTCGAGATAACAATAATTCTGAATATAATATATAATATTATTATATTATATAATTTAAAAAATGAAAATTGGGATACCTTACACTCGATAGAATATAAATTTAATAACCTGATATCAAAGTTAAATTTCGTTATATCTCCGTGCAATATAGGGTTTGTTCAGTACATACATCACATACATATAACCCATTCGATAATAGTATATAATTTTATTTTATTTTTCATATCTAAAAATTATTTTATTTAAAAATCATCTGACCATACTTGTCCCTCTACCCACATACAATAACTAAATAAATAAATACTCACTCCGTCCGCAAACTAATGTCTTACTTTCTTATTTGGGACGTTCAACAATTATTGTCCTATTTCTTTTTTTAAATACAAATTTTATATTTTTACCGTTCACTCATTTATTACTTTTAATCTCTACCATACAATTAAGGGCAAATTTGTCAATTCATAACAAAAAGACAATTACCTAAAAGCCCGTGCAAATATACTTTAGGACAATAGAAATTAGACGGAGGGAGTAAATCATAAGATTTTTGTATCTGACATTTTTTTTTATCATTTTGGTCCTTTAAATGAACCGTGTTTAAAAATAGTTGCAAATAGAGTTTTTTCGTTAGAATGGTCCTCCGATGTATCACCGACGTAACGATGACATATCAACTGCGTCAGCGCCACATCAGCAACGACAGACCAACGTAACGAATCCGACACCGAAAAATTATTTTGACAAAATTTTTTTACTTACAAAACTATTTTAAAATAAAATTCAATTAAAATTCTAAAATAATTAAAAGATCATATACGAAACTAAAACAAATTATCCTTTATTTATTTATTTTCCTTGATCCGATTCAACTTGTAATAGAAAAGCGACATACTGCTTGTGTTCCGTTTTTTTTTTTTTTTTTTTTTTTTTTTTTTTTTTTTTTTTTTCTAATTTTTGTATGACTAAATAATAGCCTCCCGGTCCCAGCAGCTAATAATTAAATTTAAAATATCTTGTGTAGCTTGTTTGACCAAATGTACGATTTTAAAAATAAAATAATAAAACAATCAAGGATTATATATATATATATATATATATTTTATTTGCATAGAGTCTCATCTTACTCTTCCATTATTGACTATAACATTTCGCATTCAATATTTATTTTCAATTTAGAATATTATATTAATTAACTAGTTATTTATAGTTTGTTAATTTGGTTGGATTTGAATTTAGGATTTTGATTTGAATTTGAATTTAAACAATATTTTGATATGATATATATAATTTTATATATAAAAAAAAGTACTCTCTCTGTCCCACATTGGATATCTGGGTCAGAAATGAGAATTTAGAATAATTAAAAATGTATTAGTAAAAATAATTATCCTATAATATAAATAATTATAAATTAAGGTTAAGATAACTAATTAATTTAATTAAAATAAAATTAGAAAATTTAAAATGAAATTAAAGTGTATAATCATTTTCCAAAAAAAGAAAATGACATGGGATGTGGGACGGACCGAAACGGCAATGTGGACATGGTAGGTGGGACGGAGAGAGTATACTCTTGTATTGAATACCATACCGATTAAATTGATATTATATATAATATATATCAATTCAAATGTTTATAAAAAACAAACAAACAAAGAACTTTTGACGACTTAAATGCATCCTCAATTACCATCGAGATAATGCATTTAGTTTAAATATTATCGGTTCTATTAGGAATAGACACATACAATATAAAGTTAATTTGAAATCCCAAAAAACTTGATCCAAAAATGGATTTCGACATCACATTATCCTCACATAAGAGAAAATTTCAAAAAATATATGTCATGTATACTGCATTATCACTTTTATCATGTATTTATCTCCATAGTAAAATATATCATACCTGCTTGCAAAAATCGTTATTTCTGTCATTTGGCTGTGAGTGACATTCACCCCACGCGAGCGCAACCAAATGATAGAAATAAAGATTTTTGTAAACATATATGTTAACAATATTGAATATATTTTGTCAACAAGATATATACATGACAAAAATGATAATAGTATACATGAGGATATTTTTTGCAATTTTTTCCCTTACGCTGTATTGTTGTCGAAGGATTACTAGGGATGAAAAAAAGGAACAAAGAAAGTTTGGACCTTTTCATTACAAGTTTTTTTATCTTTTTGTCACGGGCTTGTAAGGATTTTATTTTATATTAATATCTATGCATACTCAGTGTATTCTCTAAAAGCTTTGATTAACATCTTTTAGTAGTGAAAAAATATATGACTTGGCCGCCCTTAGATATAGGTTTCCCAAACTGGGTTACCAATTTCCGTCTTTTGTGTGTTCATCTCGGTTTACATTTTTGTTATGAAATTGGTATCAGAACCCTAGAATTTGTTTGAGTGGAAGTTAAAATGAGTTATCGACCTACAACTAAGAAATTTGATGGAATCGATTTTGGTTTTAGAGATGCTAGTTGAACATTACTCAATAAGGTCTTGGAAGTGAAACGGGAGAATAAACCTGAAGAGATTAACAAAGACATCTACAAAAAGATCGACTGAAGGACGATAATCGCAATTAACTTTTTCCTATGTGAAGCATTGCATTCCACAAAATAAAGGATTAAATGACAAGAAAGTCCTAAAAAATCTATTGGATATGTACGAACAACCCTCTACAAGAATAAATTTCACTTAATGCGAAAACTATTTAAATTCAAGACTTCTTAAAGTATGCTATGTATATACAAATTCAACTTTATCACTAGGGTTAGAAAAATTTATTGAAAATTTGGTATACCATCAATAATGAACTGAAAAAAATATCAAAACTACCATTGTTTTTTTATATACCATCATTTTTATAAAACCACACAGTAGATTTTTGGTATGATAATAGTATAACTATTATATGCCGCGACATATTTATTTCATACATAAGTTCAATATATGTTGTTATAGGGGTACTTATATCATGTATATATTTGTATATCAATAGTTTTTGGTATTTTATGTTATCTTTCAGCGAAATTAATAAAGAATGAATATAAAAATTAAGTATATGTAAAGAATATTTTTTTTGCAATTTTTGTGACGAAGTATAGTTGTTTACATTTAAAATTTTCTATCCTTTATCTACTCATTTATACTCCCTCCGTTTGACGGGTCATTTGGGGTTTTGTAATAGATTAAGAAATAATAGTATTTTATTGATAGTGAAAATACGTAGGAAGTTTTGACATCTTTACTTTTTAGCTTTATATATAATATGTGTAATGGTATGTTTGTAATTTAAGTAAAAGTTAAAAAATTATTTTGATACTAGTGTGTGATTATTTTTTTTAAAATAGAAAATAAATACTTTTTGAGTGAGACATAAAAAATAATAAAAATATACTTTGAATTTGAATAGAAGAAATATTAATTATTGTGTAAACATATTTTTTTTATTATTAATTTATATTATATAAAAAATTATTCTTTACAAAATTAATATTTATATTAAATATAGTTTATTAATTTTTAAAATCATTCAAAACATAAATTTAAATTTATTTTTAATTAAATATATATTATATTATAACTCAATACTCAATACTGAAATCAAAATTTTAACTATACCTCTCAATTTACAATCAAATATTTTTACTTCGACACTTTTTTTCATCAATAATTCGTAAGAAAAGGCTAGTTACACGCACTTGCTCCTCCTTATTATAATCCTTATTTTTGACTTAATAATTGGATGACATGAGAACAAGTCGATCAATTTATTAATGTCAAGACTTCACTAGCTTGTCTTTTTCTCTTGTTTTTTTGCTTTAAAAAATAATGGCTACATTTGTGTCAAGTTCTTGTTAGGACAAAATCGACAACCTACTACCCGTATCGAGGACAAACATAAGGATACATCGTATAGTTCGAATACAAATACGAACATAATTATTGGAGTATGGATCTACCGCTATAAGAAATTATCAATTTTTTAATAAGGTTTTTTCGTTTCTAAATTCACTTTTTCCGTTACTAATGATATTAGAGACGGAATTAGAGATGAAATTACGTTAGCTACGTGAACTTTAGGAACAGAATTCCGTTACAAATATACTATTTTCTTGTAGTGTACAACTAATAATCAAATTTTTGAGGGTCCGATCGACTTAAAAGAGTAATTTAAAATACTTCTAAGTGTCTAAATGAAAGGATAATATATTTAAGTAAATATAAAATTAAATCGGATAAAATAATATTATCTACCATAATCTCGCACTCTTATACAATATTGATAATTAATTAAATAAAGACAATTTAGTTAATTGAAGCATTTTATTTGAATCAAATTGTGGTAATTAAGTTCAATATCCTATCACCGCTCAAATTAAGAATAGTAATATTTGTATAATAATAATTAAAAATAATGATAGTTCTATAAAATGTAGGGATACATTTAGTTTAGAACAAATAAAAAGAATAAAATAGGATAATAATGAAGAAAAAAAGTAAAAAAAAAAAACGAAAAGAATGAAACATAATATAAATCAGATAAAATAAAATAATATAGAGATCTTTATTTTATCAATTTATTTAAATTTCAACCCATAAATATAATAAAATAGTTCCATATGGATGGCGTAATTGAGGTCATGGGTTAAAATCTTAGGTCCACCTGCTACACATGGTTCGTTTAGTTTGATTTGTCTTGTCGAATTTAATATGCAAAATATAAATTTGATTGGGAGTTTACCCAATGCGTACTTTCGAATAACGACTGCAGTAACAAATAATTAAAAACAGCATTGTGATGATATAATTACTATGTTAGCACATATACGACAATTTTGGATATTCATTCAATAATTCCTTTTTTTTTATACAAATCTCAATAAATATTATATAAAAATAAATTATTTACATTTACTTAGGTAATATATAATGTATATTATTTGTTTGTAAAAATCAATATTCAATATTCAATATTATTTTATTTTTATATTACTAATATATTTTTTGTAATTAATATTTCCTCTGTCATGCAAATGTATGCTTATTTGGCCGGGCACGAGTTTTAATAAAAGTAAGTAATAATTGTTACTTTTTTATTTTATAGTAAAAAAAGTACAAAAGTGTAATTATGTTTTACTTAAAAAAGAAACGAGAAATTTTTTTTGATGACAACCCTAAAAAGGAAAGTGAACATAGATTTAAACGGCACAGAGAGTATAAAAATACTTACACAAGAAAAAGGGTAAATTGAATTTTTTAGTTCCGTAACTGAATCATGTTATCATTTTAGACCCGTAGTTAGATCATGTCGCAAATTAGTCCTGTAAATAAAAGAATTTTGCAATTTTAATCTTCCAACGCCGGAGATGCCTACGTGGTACCCGCGTGGCTCGCCGGAGAACACGCGTCCCTAGGTCAGTGATACCCGGTGAATATGTGTATTTTTTTATTTTTCAGTTTTTTTTGAAAATTTTTAATTTTTTACAAATGATAAATGAAATAAATTAAAAAAATTTTAAATTTTAACACGCTGTCTGCCCGGTCTGGCTGATGTGACAGATACGTATCCTCCGACGAATTATACAGATACTACATAAACATCTTTGACGCTAGAGAACTAAAAACTTAAAAAAATTTTACTTATAAAATTAATATGCATAAAATTCTAATTATACGACTAAAATAATAAAAAAATCATTTAGATAAGTTTACCATAAAAATGTACAAAATAAACGGATCCTTATTTCCATCAACTTGTAATAGAAGCCGCCTTGTGTCCCACTTTTTTATAAATTTTATTATTATTATTATTATTTAATTTATTTATTTATTTATTTGTTTTGATGTAGTTGTTGGCTCAATCACAGCCACATAAGAAATGTAGTCTTGATTCGACAGATGACAATTAATTTAAATTCAAGACTTCCGTAGCTTGACCTTTCAAAATTGATGGCTGCATTTCTAATATTTTATTATATAAATAATACTTATATATATATTATATAATTTATTTAACAAAATATCTTTGCACACATACTTTTATATACTCCATCCGTCGTTCAAATATATTTTCACTTTTCTTTTTTTATTGTCATTCAAATTTATTTTTATTTTTTTTATAGTAAAAATACCACTTTTTTTTTTTTAAAAAAAAAAAAATCTATTTTTACATATTATATTTGCTGTAAAAAAAAAATGAATAGTAAGGGCCACGTTGTGTATCAACAATCAACAAAAAAGTACATCGGACAGTTGGAATACAAGTATCATGCGGCGTCTTTATATTAAATAAAAATAATTTTTTGATAAAATATTTAAATCAAAATAAAAAGTACATCCGACAGTTACAAATATTTCAAACATAATCGGAAATACGAAATATTTTCTTTGATCCATAATTAAATATTCATTTATTTTTTTATATGGTAGGAATAAAATAGAAATGATTAAAATAATTTTACTAGTACAGTGTGATATAAAAGTAATGATATTTGTGTAATATATTGTAAGTTGTAATGATATTTGTAATGTTAAGTAGACAGTACAGTTACTAAAAGAAAATGAATACTTTGTTATGAAACGGACTAAAATAAAAAAATAAATATTTTATTATAAGACGAAGAAAGCACTAACAATTTGAGATAAAATTTCAGATTTTGAAGACTTTCGAATACATTTCAAATTAGAATGTCTTGAAAAAAAATACTCCCTCCGTTCTAAACATTGTACAATATTTGTGTTTGGCACGGGCTTTAGGTGGGGAATATTAAGTATGGTAATTTGAGATAATTTGGATATTAAGTGATGTGATTGAAGAGATAAATGATTATTTGTTTTTTTTTTTATTTGAGTGATGTGATGGGATAAAGTGAAGTGTATATTAATATATGTATAAAAATATTATTAATTATTTTTAAATTTAAAAATGTTGCAATGAGTTTGGGACAAAAAAAAATATTGCAGAGTATTTGAGACGGGGGGAGTACAAATTAGTATATTGTACTTACCTTATATAAAAAAAATCTTTAATATCGTATAAAAAATAATTTATAAAAACTAAAAAATTATATTATTATATATAATTAAAATAAATACTTATAAATAGGTATAATATACAAATTCGATAGAATCGACAACCTTCTGGCCAATTCTTGATATTTTTGTCCAAAGCATTTTTCTTTAAGTAATTATGGTGGTTGGTCGAGTGAGACCCACCATTTATATATATTTTTATTAATATAATAATATATATAATATATATTTTTATTTGTATTTATATTAAATTATTATATAGTATATTAAATTTTTTATTCTTCTATGAAATGACATATGTGATGTTAATTATTTATTAAGATATTAATTTTATAAATACTACAACAAACGTATTTAATTAATTTATTTTTATCAAATATAGTAAATTAAGATTTTATTTTTATATCATTAATTAAAATAAATATTTCTCCAACTATATATAATTCTCAATAAAATATAAAATTATTCATATTTTTCAGTAGAAATATGAATAAATTATTTGGATTCGGGAGACGATGACGGTTTTTGGTTGGATACAAAAATTTAGATAGTATAAATTATTTATTTAAATAGTCACGATTAATTATTTAATGATTTTAAAAAGATGTAAATATATGTTGAAATATTTATAATATTATATTTTAATAAAATACATATATAATATAAATATCATTTTATAAAAAATAAAAATTTATATAATAAATAAAAAATATATTTTAAAGATAAATTTATCTTTATCGTAGATTAATTTTATAAAAAAACAGAAGAATTTTAAAAATAAATAAAAATATTTGTTATTTGATGAGATATATAGAAAAAAATAAAGAGGTTTAAAGAGATTTGAATGAATAAGAATATAGATATTTAATTAAATCAATTTATATTTGTTAAGAAATATATTTAAAACCGATAAACTTACTAAAAACAATTAGTTTGTAAAAAAAAAAAAAAAAAGATAAAGGAAATATTAATTTTTTATAAAATATTTTGAAGTTAATAAAAATTACAAACACACACAATTTTAAAGATTTTGACACTATTCAAATTTTTTAAAAACATCAGTACTCCCTCCGTCTCAAACAAGGTGTAATATTTACTTTAAATAGGATAATTTAGAAATTAAGTGATGTCACGAAGAGATAAATATATATTTTATTTTTTTATTTGGATAATGTGAGGGAATAAAATGTGGGGTAGAAATTAAATATAGTTAATCATTTCTTATTTTGAAAATATTGCAGAATGTTTGAGATATACCAAAAAGAAAATGTTGCAGCGTGTTTGTGTGAGTATATATTTTTCCACAAAATACGACATCAAATATTAATTTTTTATTATTTTAAAACTTTCAAAATATGAGGACCCTTATATTGGAAATATTACTTAAAGTCAAATATCTATTTACATATAATAAAAAGTAATCCATAAATAGTTCCAACAAGCCATTTTCCCTCCTCGAAATATTGAAAAGGACTTCATCTTCAACTACAATCATAAATGACTATAAATTTACTATAAATACGTCCTCACCTCCAAGTCGATATCTCAAAAAAAGAAAAAAGTCGAGATCTCAAAAATCTCAAAAAAATGGATGTCAATTTCTCATTTTCACTCACTACTATCTTTTCATTTTTTCTATTTCTAGCTTTTTTTCTAAAATTAATCTCTCGATTCGTATTCGGTTCGAAATTGAAGCTTCCTCCGGGGCCGAGGAAGTTCCCGTTGATCGGGAACTTGTACCAGCTGGCCGACACTTCCAAGTTGCCGCACCATCTCTTGAGCGACTTAGCAAAAAAATACGGGCCGGTGATGCACCTCCAGCTCGGGGAAGTCAGCACCGTAGTGATTTCATCGCCAGAAGCCGCGAAAGAAATCTACAAGACGCAAGAACTCAATTTCGTCAACAAACATTCGTTCATCGCGCTCGATATAATGTTTTACCACCAAAACGACATGGCATTTTCCAAATACGGCGAATACTGGAGACAGTTGCGCAAATTCTGTACCGTGGAGCTATTGAGCGCGAAACGAGTCCAATCGTTCCGCGCCTTAAGAGAAGCAGAGTTCTCGAATATGTACGAATGGATCGCTTCCAACGAAGGTTCGCCGATCAATTTGACGGATAAAATCAGCTCGACGACTTGCGAAATTGTAATGCAAGCATCGCTCGGGTACAAGGCCGAAGAACTAGCCGAGTTCAATTCGATAGTCCATAAGACCGCGGAACTTGCTCTCGGATTCAGTCTGGCCGAATTGTATCCTTCGATCGGTTTGTTTCAACGATTCAGCATGGTGAGGCGAAAGGCGGAGAAGCTGCACAAAATATCCGACAAGATACTCGAAGGGATTATCGATGAACACAGATCAAGCAACAATAATCATAAGCAACACGAAGACTTCGCCGATGTTCTTCTCAAGTTTAACGACGCGGGACACCAAGTGCAACTTACTACCACCAATATAAAAGCTGTCTTACAGGTTTGTCAATCACGGAACTTGTAAAAATTCGACTCATTTTTATCATTGATATGTGAATAAGTTTTTTTTTTTTTTTTCCGATGTTTTTCATATAGGATGTGTTTACCGGAGGAATCGAGACATCCTCAATGACGACGACGTGGGCTATGGTGGAAATGTTGAGGCACCCGGCGGTGCTTAAGAAGGCGCAAGATGAGGTGAGAGAAGTTTTAAAAGACAAGGGATTTGTCGACGAGTCGTGTATCAACGATATGAAGTACCTAAAGTTAGTGGTCAAAGAAACTCTGAGGATGCATCCGGCGTTAACCATATTAAATCCTAGAGAAAGTTCGGAGCCATGTGAGATCTTCGGATACAAAATACCGGCGAAAAGCAGGATCATGGTGAATGCCTGGGCGATTGGAAGAGATCCCGAGTACTGGAAAGAACCCAACAGTTTTATCCCAGAGAGATTTCTTGATAATCCGGTCGAGTACAAAGTGAACAACTTTGAATACCTTCCCTTTGGCGCGGGAAGAAGGGTGTGCCCCGGAATATCATTTGGCCTTGCTAATGTCGAGGGTCCTTTGGCAATGTTTCTCTACCACTTCGATTGGGAATTGCCTAATGGAATGAAACCCGAAGATATGGACATTACGGAAACAACGGGCCTTACGGCGAGAAGGAAAGAACCGTTGTATGTTATTCCGAGGGTGAAGATACCGTTGCGGCGCGTAAGGGAAGATTGATGTATCTCATTGTATGTTTTTTGAAATAAGGAATTATGGTCGGGTTGTACGCTTGTTTTATGCACTTAGTTATTACGTCTTAGATTCGAGTAAGACTAATATCTTAGTTTTTGTTCTGGATGATCCGTAATTTTTTTTTTTTTCGGATTTTTTATATGTGAAAATAAATATAGTATCTACAATCTTCAATGAGCTCTAGAATCCAATACGTACGATTGTAAGAGACTACTCATGCTCAAAATGAATAAAATTATTACTCATTTTACGTTATATTGGTTTAATTTAATTGTTGTTCCTCTTATCATTCTTTGGTCTTTTGCAAAATTTATTTATTTATTTTTATTTTGGTTAAAATAAGATGTATGACAATGAAAATTTTCGATTTGTTCTTTACCAATGATGTGCTAATTTATGTGAAATAAGTTCGAACTTTTTTTTTATAAACTTGACAGTAAAATTCAATATTAGTGTAAAGCAATTATGATGTGAGAAAAAAAGGTGAATTCGTTGAGAAACTTGACTGCAAGTAGTCTTCGACATTAAAGGATCAAGAAATCTCATTGTCATATAAAATTTAATTTTTAATATAAATATAAAAATAAAAGATTAATATTTAATTGAATATATTAGGACCCAGCTAATCGTAGATCTACATCCTTCGAATCTCCTTAGTCAACTTTTTTTGAATGTCAATAAAATATTTAGTTTGGTCAATATAATCCCAATTGGACCTACCTCTAGGACAATGTGAAACCAATATTTTTTGCCCATCATGAACCACTTGCCATAAGATACAAAGAAAAGGAAAAAAAATAAATTGTATTACTCATCCCAAAAAAAATAAATATTTTATTGAAAAAATTAAAGAAAACGAAGAGAGAAGGTAATAATAGTACTGACATTTATTTTAAATAAGTGCTGAATGGAGGATAATAGTTAAATGTTCAATGGTTGACTTTGTCAAAATTAGTAATGAGATAAATTTAGTGGACGGATTAAAAAGAAAAGTGAGAGTAAATTTAACGGACGGATGAAGTACTAAATAATGCTCTCTTGGTCCTAAATAAAAGGGCTTTTAGAGTTTTGCTATAGTTTAATAAATAATAGTATTTTATTATTAATTGAAAATGTGTAAGAATTTTTGATATTTTTGCCATTTGATTTAAAGTAATTGTATATATAATGATATATTGTAATTTAAGTAAAAATTAAATGATATTTTGTATTAATGTATAATTATTTTTTTTAAAAATAAAAAAAAAGAATATTTTAAAATGAAACATACAAAAATGGTAAAATAGTATTTTGAAAGGAGACGGATGGAGTAGTATTCTCTCCGTTCCTTATCAAAGGGGCCTTTGGAGTTTTGTAGTAGATTTAAAAAATTGTACTCCCTCCGTCCCAAACACCATGCAACATTTCATTTTTGGTACGTCCCAAATACCCTGCAACATTTCTAAAATAGGAAATAATTAATTATATTTAATCTTTACTCCACACTTTATCCCCTCGCATCATCCAAATAAAAAAATAATTCGTGCCAAAAGTAAATGTTGCACCTTGTTTGGGACGGAGGGAGTATTTTATTAGTCAGTGAAAGTATAGAAGAGTTTAAAATATTTTTGTCATTTGACTTTATGTATAAAGTAATTGTTTGTAATTTAAGTAAAAATTAAAAAAATATTTTAATATTAATGTATAATTATTTTTTTAAATAAATTTTTTTTTTTTTTTAATATAAAACCCACGAAATTGGTAAACTAGTACTTTGAATTAACACGGATAAAATAATATTATGATTCAAATCCCATAGATCATAGTCAACATTTGTGGACTAGGAACAAATTAGTGGCAAACTATTACTTTACTAACATGTGGATAGAATTTTTGTCTTGAGAGATTTCATCACAATTCGACTTTTCCACAACTTTGACGGCTCATAAAAACATTTCAAAATGGGGCATAGTATTCGAAGATCAGAACTCAATTTCAGAGACATTTTTAAGATTTTAAAAATTAAAAATAATAAAAATTAAAATATTCAGTGTTATATAATTCTTTTAAAAAATATTTAATGTAATATTTCATTAAAATAAAATAAAATTGAATAGTATTAAATTTTCAAAAATATTTATGCTAACAGAGCCTAGATGCCGTGAAATATCATATAAACATGGAATCGAACTATTCGACATACCAAATATTATGTAACGAAAAATTTTATACGGACACTATATTAATACGTCAGTGTATCGTACCAAAAATTAATATACCAAAATTAATGGCATATTAATAACGGAAAGAATTAAAGATATTGTTATTTAATCTGAATGATTACCTCATTTAATGGCATATTACAAAAATATCATTATCTTTCGGAAATATTAATATTAAAAATTTTAAATACAAAAAATAACTAAATAGATAATAGAGAATAGGAGTACAAGTTTTTTTTATGATGGATGTGATGAATAAATAATTTAAAATATATTAGTAAGAATAGTTATAATATAATAAAATAATTCTAAATTAAAATTAAAATAATTAATTAATATAATTAAAATTTTGAAGAATTATAAATTTAAAAATATAAAATTGTTACGTACGAAATTTAGAATTAGGTTAAAAGCCCAAGGTAAAACGAGGAATGGGCCTGGCAATAGGGTTGATTGAACTGGCTGAAGGACACCGTGAGGAAATCAAGGAAAATAAATTTATTTATTTATTTCTAAGGAAAATTCAGGACGGAGGGTTTTTAGGTCGGTAGGTCCTCAGGACGGAAGGTTCTCAGGTTGGTAGGTCCTCAGGACGGAAGGACCTCAGGTCGGGAGGTCCTCAAGATGAAAGACCTCAAGTCGGACGGTCTTCAGGTCGGGAGATCCGTAAGACGGAAAGACCTCAAGTCGGAAGGTCTTCCGGTCGGGAGGTCCGCAAGACGGAGAGACCTCAAGTCGGAAGGTCTTCAGGTCGGGAGGTCCGCAAGACGGAAAGACCTCAAGTCGGAAGGTCTTCAGGTCGGGAGGTCCGCAAGACGGAAAGACGATGAATCGGAAGGTTTTCAAGTCGGGAGGTCTTCGAGACGGAAAAGTTGTCGAGATAGAATATCCGCAGGTCGGGTAAACTGTAGGTCGGATAGAAGGCGGAGTCGGACAAACGCGGAGGCCTTTGATCAAAGACATGGGGCGGTTGATATGGAGGTCGGCCCAAGTGGGGTCGGGCGAAGAAGTAGGTCGGACGAAGGACGAAGTCGGGCCAAAAGAGCGGAAGGTTTGTGGTCGGCTCAAGGAGCGAAATATAGGGAATTTTTGTCTGCTGGGGACACGTGTCAGCATGAGAAAGGTTGGAAGACGGTTGAGAAGGAGACGTTGTAACCGTTCGGGTGACGGTTTTCAGTACGGTTTCCCAGGGAATATTTAAGGATTTGAATCATCGTTTGGCGAGGTATCTTCAATCAACTTCAACAAAGCAAAGTCAGATTTGGGGATCACCACTTTAAATTTCAGTCTTTTATTTTCCAGTTTTATTTTCTGTACCGTACAGTGTTTAGAGATTCCTAATCTCAGGCACTAATTAATCAAGTTTAAGGATATTTTCTATGTCTTTGAATTTTACTTTATTTTTGTTGAAAAAATACATCAACAAATTGGCGACCACAGTGGGAGCAAGACAAAATTGCTCATTCCAATTCCGGCGATAATTTCATACGTCTTAGATCCGGCCGAATCATCGGAAGGGTTATGGCAGGGTCACAACCGCAAGCATCTTCGACACCGGTGGGAGAATCCGTTCCACCACCCATTGTGCCAAATGCCGGGGAAATCCCACAACCACCAACTGATTGGTGGTCTTATGTTCAACAAATGAACAACCAGCATACCTTGGTTATGCAGAATATGTTGCGTGAGCAACAAACGAACATGTTGCGTGAGCAACAGAGTCAGTTGCAGAACATGATAGATCAAGCATTGTCAAGGGTTAGTCTTCAACCCACTCAAACGCCACCAGGAGTGTCACCGTCCAGACCACAGGCAAATTTCGCAGGGCCATCATTCGTGGATAGTACATTCCCAAGTGCCACAAATCCCAACCGAATGGATCGGGGAAAAACTCCTTTGACTTTTCCCAACAATGTTCCACTGGGACCAAGGGTTACCAATTCGCAACCGAACAATACAAGGGAGGACAGGCCTGAAGGATATATACATGATCCGATTCATATTCCTGTGCTGGATCCGTTCCAGGTTCCTGATCATCAACGCTTTCATGTAGATCCTGATGAGATTGCACATATATTAAGGGATCAGTATGGATTAACTCCTCAGATGGCTAACCGCCCTGCATATCAAAGACCTTTCCCAGAAAGGATCATTCAGGAACACCCTCTCCCAAGGAATTTTCGACCACCCGACTTTCATGCATTCTCAGGGGAGGACGGATCTTCCACCATAGAACATGTTGGTCGGTTCACAGCACAATTAGGAGAAGTTGGCAATAACCCTTTTTATAAGTTACAGCTGTTTGGTTTGTCTCTTACCAGAACGGCGTTTTCATGGTTTGTAAGTCTACCTCCTGGACAAATTCAGACATGGGAAGGACTGGAGATGGCATTTCACGCTAGATTCTTCAATCCTTTACCAGTTGTGTCTTTAACTGATTTACTTGAATTGAGACAGTATCCAGAAGAAACTGCTTCACAGTTTATAGAAAGGGTACGATTGATGAAGGGACGATGTCCTACGGTAATCAGTGAGAAAGAGATGACCAATTTAGTGGTCCGGAATATGCATAATCGTTTAAGAAAGGCACTCACTGCCCTGGATGTTGAGGATTTGGCAAGTCTTGCATCCAAGGCAGGACGTCTAGAGTCTTTGTTCAGAGAGGAAGATCAGCATAACAGGCGTAATAGAGGCCAACATATGGCGAGTATGGGAACAGAAACATGCGACTTTGATTTTAATCAGTCAGAAGAGATGGCAGCCGAAATCCTTTCTGGAAAACCGTATGTATGTCCTAAATTGAAGCCAGTACCAGGATCTGAAGGAAAGGAGCAACCGACCTTTGATAGTTCGAAAGCTGATGAAATCTTTGATATCCTACTGACTGATGGGCAGATCCGTATTCCAAAGGGCCAAAGACTTGCCACTAAAGAAGAAATCAAAGGGAGACCATATTGTAAGTGGCATAATTCTTTCACACACACTACAAGTCAGTGTACTCATTTTAGGAAGGAAATTCAAAAGGCCATCAAGACAGGTCGGCTCAAATACATC